TACCCAAATGGATTGGGCTGCGCGCCGCAACGGTCATGTGCGTTGCATTGCATTCATGCATTTATACCTATTTGTCTTACTTGTCCTGGTATTGTTGTTGTCCCACCGTTTTATGTGCTGAATCGCTGATTATAGCTTTATATTGTAATATTTCAGGATTTCTTACTTTCAGACATTATATATGTTTATTACTCACTGAGTTGGAAGTACTCACTTTACTCCCTGCACCATGTGTGCAGATTCAGGTGCTCCGGAGACTTAGTGGAGCGGTTTGCTGTCTTCTTGGATTTTATCTTCAGGAGTTGTCGAGGTAGCTGCCTGACGTCCGCAGGACCCGACTCCTCCCCTTTATTTCATTTATTTCTTTCATATTCTAGACTTCTTTATCACTATGGATATATATTACTCTATTACATCTAGAGGCTCTAGACTCGTGACTCCAGATCTATTGGGGAATGTTTGGAATATTCGTTATTATTTTTCGTACTATTTTATCTAGATTCGGATTGGAACCTTGACATTTGCTATTTTAATCGTATTATTTGTTAACGGATTACGTATTTGGGTTGAGAGTATTTAATTGGTCGGGCTTGCCTAGCATCAGTGTTGGGCGCCATCACGACCGGGATTGGGGTCGTGACAAGCTTGGGATTCTGACGGATGAATATGAAGAATTTATTTAATAATTTTCCAGTCGATTTTGTTTATAAATTAAAAATGTTTCTGCTTTAATTTGAATGATATTTTCGCATGTTTGAGAACTTTCCACAGCACTTATTTGTAGCTGATTTTAGGGGGAAAACAAAGAAAAACAATTCTATGGTAGAATATAGTTGAGAATTTGAAAGTAGATTGGCTACTCTTCACAATTTTTAAATCTAAAGGAGACGTCTTTGGTTCGCATATCAAATATTGAAACTATTAAACAAAAAATAAACATAAAGCCTAAATTCTTCTTCGGAAATTGGGATTGAAAAAAAAATAAAATTTCATGGTTCTGGTTCACATCTATTTGCGATACGACCCCTTCTTACCAGAAAAGTTTAAGTTTCGATGGACTTTTTCAACCCTTTTATTTTCCTTAAATATTTGGCTTATGATTTGTGTGATTATTATTTGTTTGCTTAGTCATATCAATATTATTTTTCTATTTTGATTTTCAAAGTATAATAATACTTACTATGATATAATGTGTTTGTCGATTATCATTCATTCATGAAAATTAGCCAAACCCAATAACTCTTCACGTTGACTAATTTACTTTGTTTTAAAAAAATACTGATAATTAAACTAGCATATTAAAGTTATAAAGTTATTTTAGTAACTTTTCGTCACAATTTTATATATACATGTGTGTATATATGCAAATATATGAATATGTACTTGTGGTGAATTCAATTTTTAATGTCTGTGTTACGAAAAATTATATATATTGTAGTTGCTTATGTGACATTATATTACTATAAAGATGTAACATGATATGAATTTTATTTAAATGCTTTATGCTATTAGGACAGATTTAATATTGCATCAAATGTAAGTTTGTTTGTTTCTCCTTTAATATAATGAAGGATATGAAACTCATCCGAAAACAATTTTACGTACGTTTATATTTTGCAATAACAAAAAATAAAGTACATAATTAAACAGTCTCTAATGGTGGATTGTATCTATGACAACATGTATTCTCCATGACTAATTTTATATTGCACTTTCAAGAGGAATATCAATGCCGACAAAGAGTTTCAATCATGACAGAGCAATGGATTTAGATAAAAGGAACATACACCAAGAATATCGTTTATGTAAGGAATCATTAAGTGAAATACGCTTCATTACATATTTATATCTTATAAAATAATATAAGTAAGAGAAAAACATAAGTATCTAATTAGACTTTGATTGTTCGTCTTCTTAAGTTCAGATGATATCTAATCATCTTGATCTCGACAAATAAGCTACCAAATGACGATCTACATTGACCATTTAAAACAAAATTATGCTTATTCTTTCATGTGTAAATCCTTACAAAAAACTTTGTTTCAATAATATTGATATTATTTTGTAAAATCATATATTACATGTCTCAGCATACACATGCAACGCACGTGACGAGAAACTAGTTATATTAAAAGTGGGAAGCCCATAACTTAAAAATTAAATTACATAAATACCCTTCTAAATAGCTATATCTATATCTATATCTATATCTATATCTATACTATATTAAAAGCACGAAGGCCCTTAGGGAAATGTTATTCGTCCTTTTTACCTTTTAAAAATTGATTTCACATTGGACAAAATTGTAATTTAATTATTTTTCCTAATATTAAGGACTTAATACAACTAGAATTTCTTTCCTTGTTTGTAGCAAATCCTAATATTTAGGAATTAAAAAGAAACTAAACTTACCTTATATATTTCTTTTCCTTAGTTGAATTGTATATCACGTGAATAAAACTATACAATTTTTAGGACTATCTAATCTTAACATGAATCCTTGCTGCTTATTCAAATAGTACTATTAGTTCAACATTTTAGATATTTGGAATATATTAAACTTTTGGTTATTAAATACTTTAACTGTGTAAAAAATTATAATATTAATATAAGACTTTAAAATTAACTAAACTTTCACTTTATCTAATTTTAGTTTGAATTGAATTATATAAGATTCTTTTATTATTCAAAATGTCACCATTTTTTTTTTGGCGTAAGATTTGGCACACATAAAGCTATAACTCAAAAGTAAAATACTCATTATATTTTGCAAATTTAAAAGTAATATCAAATTATTAATATAATTCTTTCTTTAAATTTTAAATAACAAAGTCAACTTATTTTACATTAGACAAAATTATCATTTAATTATTGTTCTAATATTTTGAATTTTCAAATCAGCTAGAATTTTGAATATTAACTTTTTTCTTATTGAAATTTATAAAAAAAATCACAAAATTTAGACTTCAAAATTAACTTAATTTACCATTTCTAAATGTCCTTATTTAAAGCCAGTTAGTAGTAAAGTTGAATTGAATTATACGATTCTTTTATTATCAAAATGTTTAAAATTAAGAATTCAAATTTCCACCATTTTTTGTCATATTTGCACGACTTTGAAGGTACTAGAAAATAGGCACACGGAAGCTATAACTCAAAAGTAAAATGCTAATTAATCTTTTTTTTCCGTCAACTGTAGTTTTTTCTTGAAATTGTAAATAATATTAAAGTTAATTATTTAGCAACAAATTTGTCAAAGTATTTTCTCATGTGTTATACTTAAAAGGTAGGACTCTTGAAAAAATATCTTAAATCTCCATAGGTGAAATGTTCATGCTGAAACTAAAAAGTAAGTATGATAATTTATAAAATTGAATCGATAGTATTGTAAAATTAGAAAAAAAATTTAAGGCCAATATATTAAATGATAATTGAAGACTTCTATGAGGCAGAGTTTTTTCGAATTGAGTTAGCTACATAGAATCAACATTCATTAATTTCAGGAGCTTATATATTTTTTTAATAATTGAAACATAAATTTTAAATTAATTTTTATTTATATTACTCATTGAGATGAGGTACAACTTTCATATATGGACAAAATTATAATTTAAGTGACTTTTCTATTATTTAGGACTTTAAAATTAATTAGAATTTTACATATTAAATCTTTCATTATTAAACTCGGTAAGAAATCATAATATTTAGTAATTTAAAATTGATTAATAGTTTACAATATATAGGGTACACGGATAAAATACAACATTTGTGCCATACTCATAAAATCAAGGGGCAACGATTTTATACGTGCATTCAATTGATTTCTTATTAACTTAAAATTGTTTAATACAATAACGTATAATTAAAAAATTTTCAATGCAAAACAATTAAATATAAATTTTAAAAATTCTTATTTTAATTACACAAAATAATTAACCTGTGTTCAATTAAGCACTCAAATATTAAATAGCACATTTAATCGAACTAAACAGTACAAATCTAAGTCAATATGGTTAGAGTGCGGAAGTTTATACTAATGTTGATTGACTTTTTATCATTTAAAAGTATATTTCATATTGAATAAAAATATAATTAAATATTTTTGTATTTAGGACTTTAAAACTAATTAAAATTTTGCTTATTAATTTTTTTTATTTGAACGATAGGAGTTGAAATATTCAGGACTTTAAAATAGATTATATAATAAAAAATAAAATGTCTAAAATGTGTATACACACTCAATAGATTCAATACCATTTAGGGTGAATATTTCTTTATTGAGTTAACTATATATGATTAATATTCATCATTTTTAGATGTTTTCACTTTATTTTATAATTTAAATATAATTTTAAAAACTATATTTTCTTACAAAAAATTACTCATCAAGATGAAAAACACGCGCAACGCGCGTACACTAAATCTAGTTATATTAAAAGTGAAAAGCCCATAACTTAAAAATTAAATTACATAAATACCCTTCTAAATAGCTTAAAAATATTCTGTTGATAGAAATATAATTTAATAATAATATTTATTAAGAAGAAAAAACCTAATTTGATTTGGCATGTCCTTTCTAAAAGGTCGTGTCTTTTTAATAAGTAACTATACGTTCTTTTTCAAATCTATTTAACCTCTATCTTAGTGAAAATTATACTCCTAGTTAAATATAAAGGTGCACATCCCCGTATTGAAGAAACAATCAATTAATGAACTTATTCTCTTCGGTGAAGGTACATGCGTTAGTAATGCGTTAAAATGGTAGACAACCACTATGCTGAATCCTTTTGTTATTAGTAAAACTAGATATAAGTAGCCCGTGCTTAGCACGGGCCCAAAGCCAGCTTGGATTTTTTTTTTTTTTTTGCATGCCTTTTCCGCTCCTAATCTTTTTCTGTAGGTGCTGGTCAATTTAGAGTTGTCAGCATCAAATAATTGGCATATGTGCCGGGGCCAGGAGCACAGTGGAAAAAGAAAAGAACTTAATAGAAAACGTAAAATGCATCACGCAACTTAAATGCAGCTTATTCTTATATAATTATCCTCTTTTTACCAACAACAAAAGATACAAATACAGTAACTGGAATGGAAAATTAACTGAAAAACAAAAATTTTAAACTCAAGATAATGCATCTTGCAATAGATTAAATGAAGACGACATGTTGCTTTAAACTGTGCAAGTATCACTAAAACATGATGCATATGGAACACACAGAATGTTCTTTAAAGAAACCGTTTTCAGGCTTCTAGATCTCACCTTAGAACAATCACAGCAAGATCAACATTCCTAGAGATTTCACTTGGTGAACCATGGCAGTTTTGGGAGCCTGAACCTCTGGAGAAAATTTTCAGAGCTTCGTGCTACAGACTTTGGGTAGAATAGAATTTCACTTGTCAGATTCTGCATAAATTCTTTTCTGTCTGTTCCAAATATCAAACTTCTGAGAAATACATTACTGTATAGCACAGATCATAATAAATCCTGACCAAAGATATCTTAAGCTTTTTAATCATTACTCAATAAAAAGTATTAAACATCCTGATAAGCAAAAGTGATAGAGCAGAAACTGTTATACACCCTTCTTATTCTTTTTGGGTGCAGATTACCATTCAAAAGTATCAGCTAAAAGAGTAGTTTGCTAATGCAATTCAAGAATTCAAAGTTTAATGGATTGAAACAATTGTCCTACAATATTTAGTAAGCGGGAAAAAAGAAAATCAGACAAGATTTAAAAGGTCTACCAAATTTTGAGTGTAACAACTTTAGGAGGGCTTACTCTTGCACTCTTTGACTATGCACATGCATTCCTGAAATATATGTAAAAAGTTACACCCTTTCTTGCAAAATTCGATTTGTTGCCATTATCATTTACCCCATTCTCATGAGTAGTTCAAATTAATAAGATACAAAAGTTTGATTGGTAAACAAAATTTAAATAAGTAAATAAAATTTCAATTGGCCATTTGAATTTCTTTTACCATGGTCACTGTGCTCGTGAGATTAATGAATATAAGAGGAAGAAAAGTTTATCAACTTCTTACCTCCCTAAAATGAGGTATTTTTATACATAGCTGGAGGGAGCTGCCTGAAGAGGTTAAAGGGTGGTTAAGGATGGATAAATTGCTTGCAATTATCATCTTTCAGGTCTAAACAGCAAAAAGGATATACCATTTTTAAAAACTAAAAACAAGAGTACATGTCTAAGTTAGGAATGATAAGGTTATACAGAGCTAATGTAAATGGAGTCCTTCATGATCTTAGATTTTAAGAATTGGGTGGCAGTACATTGTTTCGGGGAAGGTAGGCTCAAAGTTCTCTTTCTTATGTAATCGTGTTTGAGCATATATAACCATTTCCACTCAAAAACCAAGCTGGGCAGTTCCTTTAAAAAAGAGGACCACTATTAACAATTGGTGAAAAAATAAATATCATCTTGAACGGGAAACTGTTTCGATCATAGTTGAAGACTGGTAAAACCATTCAAACTATCAAAAGAAGAATAAGATTAGAGCAGAGTGCTAGTACAATATAGGCATGCAAAAACAGGAGAAAAAAACTATTAGAATGCTGATATATTGTCTTTTTCTTTTTTCCTTTTTATAAAGGTAAGTAGCATAAATTCCTGTGTATTCTAATCTCAATGCTCTTCTCCCAAGCAATCCTTAGAATCTCAATCAAGTGGACGTGCTATATAATCAAATAGTTAATCTATTAGTGTGCCTAAAACATCAACGACATTCAAGTTAAACTTCACATGTTATCTCACATTATTGTTACAAGATGAGCTTAACTAATTAACACATTGGCCTTATTATCTCGCATAATATTATTAACTCAAACACTCAAAGATTAGAAAAAATATCACGTGAAAGCATTCAAACATCCAAAGATCGAATGAAACACATTTTATTTATTGCATCAAAAGCTATTGCATTAAACAATGAAATGTCAGCCTTAATAACTTGCATTATGGCCTTTATAGAATCCATTTGGAACTCCAAAGTTTGCCCCCATTCTTTACAGAACCTCAACTGTTTTTTTAAACATCATCTAACCGAAACAACCATCTCCCAAATACCAACTGTTACGCGGCACCTTCCTGAGATTCCTTGGAAGGGCGACGTAAGGCTAGGCAACTGATGTCAGTGCAGTTACTGTCCGCCAACTGAGGTCCCCTCCGTACGCTAGACGAGATTGTCAGTGCCGTACGGGAAAACCAATGTCAAGAGCAATTGAGAGAACAGAAATGAGAATTCAGAATGAAAGAAAGCTTGATTGCATTAATGAAAGCTATTACAGAAAAGCAACGCGGTGTCGAGGGGGGAACTTACATGCAAGCCCGAGAAATCAAAAAATTATTTAAAAGCACATTTGTATAGAAACAATCCTATTCAACAACTCAAAATTAGAATTTCTGTCCACATTCAGTTTAATTAACACAGAATTAAATGAAAAGAAGTGGCTTCATGCCTTTATCTTTTGTCAAGAAAAGGAATTCACAAGAATGTTATAACCAAAAAAGAATGTGAAAACTGTACCATATATTTAGAAGTCGTTGATTTTCAAATATTATCAGATAAACAAAATAAAGTTAGATGTAACATGCACAACCAAATCTTTGGCATTCAACCCTTTTTAGCTACTTTTTATACTAAAAAGGAAAGAACACGAGCAGCTAATGCTTTTTGCTAATGCTTAATGCACCTGAAATTGATACATCATAAACTCACACATAATTATATTCAAGATAAGTCGAGTAACTCCAATTCAAGATTGATTACTAATATTTCTTGTCTAATGACATAACAAAAAAGTTAAAAGGCTCATACTATCTGTAAACAGTCATCGCATTGACAGTATGCTTTATATTAGAGGCACGTAAGGTGTATTCATCACTGGAAGCACCAAGAAGGTGCTGATACAAAAGATAAGAGAACAGGAGATCTAAGAGCATAAAAAATAAAATGAATGACCGGTTTACCTCTAAATATACTTGGCACAACAAAAACAGAAAGAGAACGTAAAATATGTGCTAATCTTCGTGGAAGGATTTTCTAATGCTTTTACGCGGTATGAGTACTGTTACACATACTTGTTTATATATGCAAGAATACGTGTATCAACAATTTCATAGAATGAAGGAGCGGAAAACTTGGCCTTTCTGCTGAAGCCACTCGTTAGGGCGGCGGAGTTACCAGTAATGTCGGTTTTTACTGCAGCTCTACTATTTGAATCTGATTATAATGCTGATTTGTTTATTTACACTATTCTAACATCCCCAATTTAGAATCCTGGTGAAATTACAGAATCCCAAGAAAGAACAAAAGCTTAATTACAAATTTATAACCAAAAAAATAGATGCAAACACTTGAATTAATCAATTACCTTTTTGAAGCAGTTGGACCTTCAGAGTAAGCGAAACCCAATTTCAGCATTCAAATACTTGGTTAAGAACTCAATAAATCGAACTCAAATGTCAAGCAACGCCACTTTTGTTTGAGATTCCACAAATCAAAGTCGAATTTTACTGTTTAGAAACAAAAGAAAATTCTAGACAGATAATGATCGGAGAGTTTGAGAGAGTGTGAGAGAGAGAGACGAAGAGCCTAAAATGAGACCGAAAAGTGACAATCAAAACAGAACTGGCGTGAGATGTTGAAATGGCAACTTTGCCCTTGGTCGACCAACTTCTCTTTTCTATATAATAGAAAAAATTGGTTTGTTCATACCGAACTTCTTTTCGGCCTTTATGTCATTTCTGGTTTGATTTTTCCTCGGTTGATTAGTAGATATTTAATCATTTAATTTTCAAAGTGACATTATGCTTACTTCAATTCTAAATTTTCTTTCTTGAGTTCTTGTGGTAGAAGAAATTATTAAATAATTGAATTTTCTTTAGTAGGCTTAAATTATGCACAGTGTAGAGAAATTGCTATCCTCAAAATAGTTTCCTTGGAAAATATGCTGCCTACATCCCTTTAACATTTAATTAAAATTCTTTGCACAATTTTATATTTAGATAATTTTAAATATTTCTACAATATGCAGAAAAAATTTGGATATCATTTAATAGTCACATATTGATAATATTATTCACTAACCACTACTATTTTAATTCGGAAGGGGCATTACAACTTACGAAAGAAATACTTTGTCTGTATTTATAACTTCAAAGGTAAGATACCTTTATCGACTTGATAAATAACTTTTAATGCGAGTCATAATATTATTTGTTCCATGTTGACGGGAGAGAGCATCAATTTGAATTTTGAATTGACAATATTTTAGTCTTTAAAAAAATGTTTTTAGTCTTTTTTTGGCACAAAAATTTTGAATAATTAATTTCTTGACAAAATTCAGCAAAACTTCTATCTTTTTTGAATGAAGTTTAAAAGATTCGTATTTGAAGTTAAAGTTGAAGTTGAAAAGAAGTTGTGAAATTTTGTTTGATATAAATTTCACTTGAATAAGAAGTTAAACTTTTGTGAGTGAAACATTATTTCTTATGAGATAATGAAACAAATTTTTAGCTTCAAAATTTTCTATTTAAAAGTGAAGCTAAAATGATAGATAAAATTTAAATAAATATATATTTTCAAAAGTGTGTGTCCAAATACCTTTATAAATCAAACAAAAATTCTTAAAGTCGGCATATGATATGAAATAAACGTATAATGCACGTTCAGAGAGACTATTATATATATATATGTATGTATATATATATATATGTATGTATATATTAAATTTTAAATTTTAATTCTCATTAAAAATTATATTATAAGTTATAATTAAAGAACATCTAAGGTATAAATATGTAATCTTGTAGGAATTTATTATTAAATCTACATCTAGTATTAATTATTATTTTTATATTAGTGCACTAACTTTTATTTGATTGATATTAATAAGATATTTTTTTTAAATATTTAATTGCTCCCATTTCTTTCATTATTCAATTTCAATAAATTATATATGATTGATTATCATTTTTCACTTTTTTTTAATGAAAAAAGTACAATTATTTTCATTGGTAAATTCATAACATAAATTAAGAAAAATTTGTGATATAAGAAAAGTAAAAATAAAGGATAGACCAAGGCTGATAAGATCGAGGGTAAAATAGATATTTTAAAAATATAATTGATTTTGAAGGAGCAAACTATCTGTTGTTCAATATTGGAGGAGAGGTTTGATTTTTAAGACTAAGTTGAGGGATCAAAATAATTTTCACCCCTTTTTAGTCTATATTCTTGTATTCAAATTCTTGCTTTCCGACTCTCTTTTTTTATTTTTTTTATTTTATAGTTCCATCATTATGATGGAGGAGTAAAGGCGTGACTCCAATCTGTATATATATCAAAAATAATAATTACACGGAGGAGGACATATGCCTTGGCCTCCAAGACAGTGTGATAGGTGACAACACTCATCCTATGATACACAGTTGAACAAAAGTATTTTGCTTGTATGGGAAGGAAGTTGTGCATCCTAGGGTAATTTGTAGTAACACTCAAGGATGCTATGTACCAAAAGGTGTGAGAAAGAAACTTTCTGCTAGGTGTTGTCATTGATAACGAACTTGTTTTTCTTCTGTCTAAATCTGATGTTAGGGACTCCGTCAACTTCTAACTTCATTGAAGCTCTAACATTCAAAGGTAATGATACAACCTCATTGAAGATAGAATCAATTTTGGATTCTTCGCCCAGGTTAGCAAGCTTGTCAACAGAGTTGTTTCCTTCTCTCAAGGTGTGACAAAATAGAAAGTTAGCATCCTTGGTCGTGTTGTGGATTTGTTCAATAGTATCTTTGAATCTCCAGGGAGGCTTCCTGATCCTTTTGATCAAGTTAAGGAGAATCAACGAGTCCGATTCAACTATAACATTTGTAAAGCCCTTTGAAATACACATTTTGATGCCTCGCATCATGGCTTTAGCTTCCGCAATATTACAGCTACAGTCTCCATAGAACTCTGCAAAAGCACCAATTAAAACGCCATGGTGATCTCTGATAAGACCACAACCACTTGCCGGACCATGGTTACCTTTTCTACAATCATCGACATTAAGTTTAACCTAGCCCACTGGAGGTTTTTGCCAATAAACAATCCGACAATGAATAGCAGGGGAAAGTTTTTCAATTCTGTTGTACGTGACATGCCATAGGTGCTGGATCTGAAGATCTGGGAAACTCGTCTGGATAAGCATATTAGTCATTTTGATCACTTGTTGGATGATGAAATGATGGGACATGCGTTTTTCATCAAACCTAGCAGAGCATCTGTTTTTTCAAATTTACTAGCAAATGATTGAGGGCAGGCACTGAAGAACTGTCTTCTGAACTTCATTTTTGGACTTAGTCAACCACCACCTCATAATTCTGTGTCTTACCTGGCCTTAGACCAATCTGATACCACATGAGTTACAGAAGAAGAACCAGACTAGATTGGCAATATGACTATCACTGAGCAGATGGTTAGTATATTCCTCAGAATGTTTATTGGGGCAGCAGTTACATATAGAAGCAATATTCACCCCAAATCTTTTAATAGCAACATCAATTGCTACTTTATCCATTAGAACTCTCATTATAAAAAAGGAAATTTTAAAAGGAAGCTTTTTATGCCAAATATTCATACCTGTTAGAGTAGTCCCTTTCTTTAATCTCAGAGTGTGCCATGCAGATTTGCAAGAGAAATCCCCTGAAGGATCCGGGGTTTATATGGTCTATCTTCTTTATCAATATTGAAGGTGATGTCTTTGATATAGTTGACCACATGCAAGGGGAGGATTCTCCTCAATTTACTTTGATTCCAAGTATTTTGATGATAGAAATCCCTTACCATAGTTCTTTTAGGAGTCTTGGTGTTAATCGCCAGGTGAGCCAAGTGCCCAAGTTCTGTCCAAGAATCCCACCAGAAGGAGATCTCCCCTCTTTCAAGGCTCCATGAGATATAAGGTTCCACCTTTTCCATCATTCTTCTCCAAGAATGAGATTGGCATTGAGCTTTTCTTCTTGCAACAGGATGAAACCTTTTACAATACTTAGCTTCGAGAAAATCTTTGATAAGGGATTTTTTAGTTCTAAATTTCCACCATATCTTAGCAGAGAAGGAATCACATGTGTCCTTAAGAGATCTGAAGCGAGCTCCCCCTTCCTCGACTGGAAAGCACATGTTTTTCCAAGCAATCCAGTGCTTCTTGTTTTTGTTGCCATCCATACCCCAAAAGAAGTTAGAGATGATCTTTTCAATCTGGGAGAAAGTTGCCTTGGGAGGATTTAACACTGATAGAGTGTGAAGTGGAATAGCCTGCAAAACAGATTTAATAAGAACAACTTGCCACCATAGGTTAGAAATTTACCTTGCTATCCTTGGAGTCTTTTGGCTATGTTAGCCACCATGTTGTTAAAATAAACAATTTTTTTCCTTCCTATATAGATAGGACATCCAAGATATTGCATTGGGAAGTGGCAGTGATTGTATCCAGTAATCTGTTTGATTCGGTTGATTCTTATATCATCATCTTGGAAGTTGACATAAAAACCAGATTTGGCTTTGTTCACTAGTTGTCCTGAGATTTTCTCATAAGTACCATCTTTTTCATCATGATCTTCGAGGATTCAGGTTCAACTGAGGAAAATAAAATTGTGTCGTTAGCATAACATAAATGAGATATAACAGGACCATGACTATCTATAGAGAAAGGGATAAAATCATGATTATTTAAGGACTCCATTAATTTTGAAAAAAGTTCAGCCCCAATAAGAAAAAGAGAGGGAGATAAAGGATCCCCTTGTCTTAATCCCCTAGAGGAATTGGAAAACCCCTGTCTATTCCCATTGATATTTACAGAATACCAAATATTAGACATAACTCTCCAAATCATATCAATCCAAGTTTCATCAAAAACCAAAATGCCTCATAATATTACAGCGGTATTCCCATGAGACTCGATCATATGCTTTAGCCATGTCCACTTTTAGCACTACATTCCCATGAGTGGAAGGTTTTGTAATATTATAGACCATATCCTGAGTCATCATGATATTTTCAGTTATGGATCTTCCTTTGATAAAACCTGTTTGGTAAAGAGAAATAAGTTTTTCCATAAGGGGACTTAATCTCTGGTTCATTAGACTCGATATGATTTTGCAGGAGAAATTGCCATGGCTGATAGGCCTTAGTTCATTGAAGGCTTGAGGATTATCCAATTTAGGGATGAGAGGATTAGGCAGGTGTGGGTCATGGCCTTTGGAATTCGGTTACCTGCAAAGAAATCATTGATCATTAGTAAAAGATCATCCTTAATAATATCCCAACAAGAATGATGAAATTTTCCAGAAAGACCATCTGGTCCATGTGTACTGGATGGGCTCATGGAAAAAATGACAGCTTTCAGTTCCTCCTTAGTAGGTATGGCTGTGAGGCCTGCATTATCCATTTCATTGATAACTTTATGAATACAATTAAGGATAGAAAAATTGGAGTCCGTATGTTCTCTAGTGAATTGCTTTTGAAAGAAGGATATAGCTTCATTTGCAATACGCTCATCTCCTTCAATGCAAGTGCCATCACTTAGCTTGATCTTTTTAAGAGCTAACCTCTTTCTTCTACCCTTGACAATGGAGTGGAAGATTTAGGCCCCGTTTGGCCATATATTTT